ATCTAATTTTAAAACTACTAAAAATAAAAATCTTTTGTTATTTTTCATTCTATAAATTTAAAAGTTTCATTTGATTTGCAAATGGTTTCATTTCGGTTGCAAAAGGTTACATTTTCGCTGCAAAAAAATTCATTTCCACTGCAAAAGGTTTCATTTCCGCTGCAAAAAGTTTCATTTGAATTGCAAAAGGTTTCATTTAATCTGAAAATACTATATAGCATTTTCAGATTGAATGAAACCTTTTGCAATTCAAATGAAACTTTTTGCAGCGGGAATGAAACCTTTTGCAGTGGAATTGAAACCTTTTGCAGTGGAAATGAAACCTTTTGCAGTGGAAATGAAACCTTTTGCAGCGGGAATGAAACCTTTTGCAACCGAAATGAAACCTTTTGCAACCCAAATGAAACATTTTGCAAATCAAATGAAACTTTTAGATTTTTAGAAGGAAAAATAACAAAACATTTTTATTTTTAGTAGGTTTAAAATTAAATCAACTAATTACAACTAATATATAGTTAAAAAGGATTTTTTATTGATTATTAATATTTATGTTTTTATAAAATTTTTTCTTAAAGCTTCCATAAAACAAAAGTGTAGATGCAGGAAGATTGAAAAAAGTTTTTCAAGGTATTTTTTCAAAGGACCCGAATTAGGTATCTTTTTATAATCTCCTCCATGGAAAGGAGGATATATTAAATTTGTCATTCGCTTTGTAACACCTCTAAATATTCGTCGTAGACCCCATAAAGTATATACAATCATGATCATATTTGATTTAATGATTTCCACTTGTCTGTCTATTGAAATCACGACTGCTCTATCTCCATAATCAATAAAGCTGCGAAGCGGGAATCCTTTATTAAGTAAAATTAATAGTATACTATAACTATAAAAAATTGTGGTAAAGCTGTATTTCACATTTCAGTCCAGGCCATACCTATAAAGGCCAAAATTTGTTTAAATTTCTCTTTTTAGCGTTAAGCATTTGGAATTTAATAATATGGAACAATAAAGAACCATTTGTTATTACAATAATTGAAAATTTAAGAAATAATATAAATAAATGTAGATATTTATAATCAATAAAAAATCCTCTTTGTCAATATATTAGTTATATTATTATTAATTATTAATTGATTTAATTTAAAAACTACTAAAAATAAAAGTGTTTTGTTATTTTTCCTTCTATAAATTTAAAAGTTTCATTTGATTTGCAGAATGTTTCATTTCGGTTGCAAATGGTTTTATTTCGGTTGCAAAAGGTTTCATTTCCGCTGCAAAAGGTTTCATTTCCAATGCAAAAGGTTTCATTTCCACTGCAAAAGGTTTCAATTCCACTGCAAAAAGTTCATTTCCGCTGCAAAAAGTTTCATTTGAATTGCAAAAGGTTTCATTTAATCTGAAAATGCTATATTTGAACCTAATTCATGTTCGCAATATGTTATACATTGCGAAATGCTCTCTACGACTTCAATATTCGGATTTGAATAGGAAACGTTAACCTTAGCATGTTCAGATACTGTAGTGGGAATCGTAACATTGTGCTATACAGCTAAAGTTATACCCTCCACCATACCCAGACCCAACAAAGTATATTTATTCTAGATCAGCGTAATATTCTTAGTCGATTTAGCTACGTCCGTCTGTCTGTTGTAATCACGCTATCTCTCGAACGAATTAAGATAGAGGGCTTAAATTTTACACATATGTTTATTTTTCCAGTAGGCTGGTTAAGTTCGTAAATGGGCCATTTAGGTTCACGTTTTCATATAGCCCCATATAACGGTACCTCCCGATATTCGGTATTTTGATGATTTTAGCGACATTATTCACCGGAATTGTTTCAAATTTGGCATTTGAAGTTTGAAATGTATACAACCGCCTAAGACAGAAAATTGTCTGTGTAGGTCCACGTATTCGTATAGGCCCCATATATCAGTAGCTCCCTATAATCGGTATGTTGACGAGTTTAGGTACAATACCCACCGAAATTGTTTGGGATGTCGTATTTGAAGTTCGAATTGGATGCTATAGCCTGTGGCAGAAAATTGTCTATGCATGTCCAGGTCTTCGCACAGCTCCGATATAAAGGTACCTCCCTATATACGACATTTTGATGATTTTAGCTACATTATTCACCGTTTAATATGGTAATGACTTATAACAAACAATGCCTATGTAGGTCCACGTCGTATAGACCCAAAAATAACGGCTATATTCGGTATTTTTAAAAATTTAACAGAATTTTATAAAGATTTTATTTTTTGAATATTTCCAAATTCGTTCCAAATGGTGGATGGTATTCAAAGTTCGGTCCGGCCGAACATACTGCTTTTTAAATGAAATATGTATAATGAAATATGTAAATGAAATATGTATAAGCGATGATACCTTTGCTCACAATTAGCAAAACAACAGGAAAATGATGATATATTTCTATGGTGCCTTTTCAAATGTCAAATAAGACTTTCGACACCCATAAATATCTCCGTAGAACAAAAGCATTTCAATATATCCATTGTAAATAAACAAAACAAATATTAACATAAACTATGAAAAGTTAATTCAATATACGAACGTGTTTTCAATACAATTTAAGTTTTTTAATAGACTATTATGCACACTCTTTGTACAAATCGTTTGTTAAAGTACTTACAGATAGTATCTTAACATCCCACGCTATGTTTGAGTTAAAAATTATATGTTGTATGAAGGTATATGCAGACACGATGTAGGATAATTTATGTTCATAGCCATAAACGAATAAAACATGCTTCTACAGCAATCAGAGGATTTTCCATACCGTTTTCGTGGTATCGCCAACCAAATAAAGTTTTGGTTGAGTCTAGGTTTTTAATATTTTCATTATATTTCTGGTTTCATGATCAGCCTCTTGAATAGTCTATGTGAGAATAATAATAATAATAATTATAATACGCTATTAAATCATAAAACTTAACTCTTCTATTGATATATAACTTGCAGTAATATATATATGCTTCCTTGGATTAAATTTTACATTTCTTTCTGTAGCTTGGCAAAATATATGCTATTAACATCAAAGACTGTGCATGCTTTGAATCTAAATTAAAGTAGAACACATTTGGAAAATCGAGCGATTTTCTTGCATTTTCTCTGCTCTAGCGATAATGTTATATATTGCGATAATGGATAATATTGTTTCCATGTGTGTATGTTTCTGCATGATAGATATAAGATTTTGATATCTATTTTGAGCTAAATCAATAAAGAAGATAGAAGATATATTAAAACATAAACATAATATATATTAAAACAGTTAATAATTGTGATTCGTACCAATTTGTACGCGTCTCCAAAAAAAGAACTTTATATTTTCAAAATATTCAACAGTGCTAAAATTGTTACAACGGAGTTCATCTTGTCTCTGGCTATGAGTTTTTTTTTTTTCATATTTCTTTTACTGTTTCCCCAAAAATAAATCAAAACAATTCTTTCTTTATAAAAATAAAATTTTTAAATACATTTTCAATGTGTAAACAATTACTTGACAAATTGATATATATTATACTCATTCTTTTCTTTACTAACAGAAACAGCAATTCTGTTTATTTACCCCAAAGCGCTCTTCTATACATACATAGATTCGCAATTTTTGGCATAAAATTGTTTGGTGTTTTACATTATTTTAATTCTTGGTATTTTTAGCTAAAATATAAAATAGAACAGTGTTGGCATTTTTGTTTGGGAAAGAAAGTACACCTAAGTCTGTTTTTACACGGTAGATTGGTTCCAGAAGAAGCCGTGTAAAAAAAAAACCGTGTAAAAAAGACATTGATCTTATACAAAAATGGGTGATTTGTTCCTAATCTCTAAAACCTATTAAAATTAGTGAAAAACAAGAATTTTTATGTTTTTCTTTACCAAACACGTCTTATTGCATTAACAGTTCACAAAATATTAACACGTTTCAATTGCTCTGACCAGTAAATTTTATTGTATGCACATAGTGCTATTCACATTTGCTTTGACCAGTAAAAATTGTTTGTACGCGCTAAAGGGGAATTCACTTAAATCTTTAAGCTAGTGTTCGCAAACTATCGATACTATCGATGGTTTCAGACTTTTTTCTTTCATTAATACTTTTTTGTGATACGAACATACTTCGCAAAAATTAAATTTGACAAAAAAATTTAAGTACATAAAATTTCAAATCGTGCTAAATGGAATAAAATCGTGTAAATAAATTAAAAGTATTCAATTTTCAAACCGTGTTATATCAAAACCGTGTACAAAAAGACCGTGTAAAAACAGACATAGGTGTAATTTACTAGGGGGTAGGAGATGAAATACCATGGTTTCGGAAAGAACCAGCAATCCTCATCAGTTGCCTTGGTTAATGGCTGGGGATATTCTCCCCATGAGTTATAATTTTAATATAACAAAATCAATATGAATATGCCCAAAATAGAAGTCACTAACTAGATAGCACACCCAACCACTAGTTTTAAGAACGAAATGCTACAAATATCCACATCCACGCGTACTTTATATGTAGCAACGCGCTTGTCAATCACATATACTGAATGTAAATCAAGGACAATTAATAAAAAAATATTCCGTGAAGTGCAAATTTTGCCCTAAACTTCCTTTTTGGTAATATTCTTTGGTTTTCCTTAAAATAAGTATAAATTTTAGACATTTTCGAAATTTGCTCCAAAAAATTGTCAATGAAAAAAATTGAAATTTCCCATATATGGCTCATTATATTTAACTAACATCTGAATGATAAAAATTGGTACAAACACAGTTGAAATGAAACAAACACAGTTGAAGGATTGGTTTTTAATTTTCCATATTTTTTGTCGAGACACATTTACTGGCCTTAGCTATTGCTCAGTAATCACTTCCTTTAAAAATAACTTAAAGAGTTCGTAGCGTGCAGGGGATTTATTTGTTGATAATGCTATTACAACCATTGTATACCAAATACCTAATTACGACTTCTTTGTTTTCCTTAGTATAATGATGCTCCACAGCCATCAACAGAAGAGCAATTGGATTATTTTCCTGATATTGCAGTGCCAAATGAACAAAAAGAACAAACATTTCCCCTAGATGAATGCTCCCCTGCTCCACAGCCTGAAGCCGAACAAGCAGTTGAAACGTTGTCCCATTACTTACTTTCCATAGTTTATATGCCACACTCCATGCGCATGGTTTGTCTAACAAATCTGTTTTGTTGGATGGCACATGTCTGTTATTCCTTGTATTTTACGGATTTTGTGGGCGAAGCTGTGTTTAAAGGAGACCCAAAAGCTCTTGAAGGAACAAGATCTCAAATTTTATACGAGGAGGGCGTACGTTTTGGTTGCTGGGGAATGGCCATGTACTCCCTTTCGTGTGCCTGTTATTCTTTTGTAATTGAAAGATTAATACAGCGTTTTAAGTAAGTATTTATACATTTAGAAATAAGCAATTTATTAAATGCTTTATTATATAAACAATTAAACATAACAATAAGAATAAAATTTATATTTACACTTGCAACCTACTTCAGTAAAAACACCTAAACCGAGTTAAGTTCGACAAGGCCGAACTGTTAATAGCCTCGACCATAAGGTTAAGACACCCTTTAAAAACAGGCAGAATCCATTACAAAAGAATTTTAAACTATTCCCCTGAAAAATGTCGCTAATATCATCACAATATTAACTATCGGAAAGTACCAAAACATAGGGACTATATCAAAACGTGAACCTAAGCACTGATTTTTAAACAATTCATCATCATTGCACTGCAATTTTTAAGGCGCTATAGGAAAACGTGATCCTATACAGGCAGTGTTCTGCCGCAAAAGGCAGAACATATTATGAACTCTAAATACCGAATTTTAAACTATTCCGTTAGAAAACTTGACTTAAATCGTCAAAACGGAAAACGGGCCGAAAAATATTATGCCACAGAAGGTATATCCTTTATTTTTTATTTATCTTCTTCGGTATAAATCTTCTTAAGAATAATGAAAACGTTTGTGAAAAACGTCTGTAGAAATGCTATATCTTGCGACCTCTTTTGAAAAGAGAGACAGTTCTGATTGGAAAAGTATACAAATCCAAATTAACACGACGGTAGCTGTGTCTACACTCCTAAATGGACAAGCACAGATATATGGGGCTAAAATTAAATCGTGGACCTACATTTGTTCTACGACAAATCTCTAACCAATACGAAACCAAATTGCTAAATTGCAGCCCATTCGATTGGAAATTGGAACTACAAGCACCGAAGTAACAAATAACAATCGATAACTTTATATGGAGGACATAACAAAGGGTGGAAAATGCTTCTTAAAGCTTTAAAATACATACAATTTTTATGAACCGTTATATGGGGCCTATGCCTAACAGGGAACCAATATTAAACATATTTGCTTGAAAAGATTGATCAATACAGAATTGTGAGGCGTTGCCGATTATTACTTTTTTATACCCTCCACCACACTATGGAGGGTATATTAATTTTGTCATTCCATTTGTAACTCCTCGAAATACTCATGTCAGACAGGTCCACGTCTTCGTATAGCCCCCATATAAGGGTGCCTCCCTATATTCGGTATTTTGATGATTTTAGCGACATTATTCACCGGAATTGTTTTAAATTTAGTGATTAAAGTTCGTAATGAATACTACAGCCTAAGACAGAAAATTGTCGGTGAAGGTCCACGTCTTCGTATAGCCCACATATATCGGTACCTCCCAATATTCGGTATTTTTATGATTTTAGCAACATTATTTAACGGAATCTTTCCAAATTTGGTATATGAAGTTCGTATTAGATACTGCAGCATAAAACAGAAAATGTAACGGTGTCCCCCGATATTCGGTATTTTGATGATTTTAGGGACATTATTTACCGGAATTGTTTCCAAATTGGTATTTAAAGTTCGGAATGGATACTACGGCCTAAGACAGAAAATGATCCATGTAGGTATAGCTCCCATATAACGGTACCCCTCCCGATATTCGGTATTTTGACGATTTTAGCGACATTATTTACCGGAACTATTTGGTATTTGAATTTCGTAATGAACACTACAGCATATAACTGAAAATTGTCAGTGCAGGTCCGCGTCTGCGAATATCCCCCATATAACAGTACCCCCCGATATTCGGTATTTTAATTATTTTATGGACATTATTTTCCCGAATTGTTTCACATTGAGACAAAAAGTTTCAAAACTCGCATGTGATGCTCGTAATGGCCCATGCCAGAAAATTGTCTGTGCCGGTCCACGTCTTCGTACAACCCCCCTATATTCGGTATTTTTAAGATTTTAACAGAATTTGTAACGGATTTTATTTTTTTGAAAATTGTCAAATTTGTACCAAATGGTGGAGGGTATTAAAAGTTGGGCTCGGCCGAACTTATTGTTTTTTACTTGTTTCAACATCAATATTTCTAAGAATAATGTAAACGTCTTTGCAAAATTCCAAAGATATATCTTAAATATACAGATATTCATGGTAATTGGAACAGTCTATCATCAAGAATACATGTCACAAATTGATGACAAATAAGAGAAGTTATGTTTGGCTGCTCCGAGATCTTTTAATCCTTAATGTTGAGTTGGACAGCTACATGGATTTTATATTCAAAAGTAGACCTACTACATTTGTATGAGAAACTTATATCCAATCATGGTACAATGAAGTCAAGGTAGGGCAGATCAGTCTTTTGACTGCAGTAGGTCAAGTTCGAAGATGGACTATATCGGTCCTCGATATCTTATACCCTTGAGAAAATAAATATACATAAAAATACAGCAGGGCTATGCCAAAAACTAAAAGAGTCTGATTGTTTTCGAATAAATTTTCCCCCCACTGTAAAAAAAAACTTGCTCTAACTTATTCGAACATAACTGAAAAATAAAGTTTGCTCGTTTTGTTTTTTCCACTCCCAGGAGTGCTTCTGTTCGACTTCGAGCGAGTTGCGCTTTGTTTTGGAATAGAAAAACTTTTACCTTGTTACCTTCTACACTGAAAGAAAAATGTTTCGTTGTATCAATGAACCGGTTTCGTTAATTTTTTTCTTTGATGCAATGAAAAGCTACATTAATATTTCTTAGACCAAACAGTTGATAAATGGAAAATTATATCAATTGGACAAAAAAGGCGATCTGCATTTTGTTTATAAAAATAGATGGGCAGACGGTCAGACTTGCTAACATGCATAAACCGACTCAGAACGTGATTTTATAAAGAACATCAAAAAAGTAAGGTTTATCTCGCCTGTTACCAACAAATGCATAACGACAAATTTCACTGAATCAAGGAAGAATTTTCATTATATTAATGAACAATTTAGTTAATTTTACATTAATGAAACTCAATGCAACTTTTTTCATTTATTCAATGAACCTCTACGTTGGTTCAAAATCAATAACAAATTTCCTTGACGGAACGTAGAATTTCATTTATGGTATGAAGCTTTTTCTTTCTGTGTATACACAAAAAGATCAACAAACGTAATTATTAATAAATCGGCTGCAAAGTATAATCTTTGAAATATTCCAAATACACAGATATATATGTGTATACACAAAAAGATCAACAAACGTAATTATTAATAAATCGGCTGCAAAGTATAATCTTTGAAATATTCCAAATACACAAAAAGAAAAAGGAAATTTGTTATTGATTTTGAACCAACGTAGAGGTTCATTGAATAAATGAAAAAAGTTGCATTGAGTTTCATTAATGTAATAAGGTAGAGCAAGTTTTTTTTTACAGTGGGGGGAAAATTTATTCGAAAACAATCAGACTCTGCTAGTCTTTGGCATAGCACTGCTGTATTTTTAAAAAAATTAGCGAAACCGGTTCATTGATACAACGAAGCATTTTTCTTTCAGTGTAGAAGGTAACAAGGTAAAAGTTTTTCTATTCCAAAAAAGCGCAACTCGCTCGAAATCGAACAGAAGCACTCCTGGGAGTGGAAAAAACAAAACGAGCAAACTTTATTTTTCAGTTATGTTCGAATAAGGTAGAGCAAGTTTTTTTTTTTACAATGGGGGGAAAATTTATTCGAATACAATCAGACTCTGCTCTTGCGGAGCACTCTTTTAGTGTTTTGGCATAGCCCTGCTGTATTTTTATGTATATTTATTTTCTCATGGGTATAAGATATCGAGGACCGATATAGTCCATCTTCGAACTTGACCTACTGCAGTCAAAAGACTGATCTGCCCTACCTTGACTTCATTGTACCATGATTGGATATAAGTTTCTCATACAAATGTAGTAGGTCCACTTTTGAATATAAAATCGATGAAGCTGTCCAACTCAACATTAAGGATTAAAAGTTCTCCGAGCAGCCAAACATAACTTCTCTTATTTGTCATCAATTTGTTACACTATCATACTTTAATCGGGAACCTTATGAAGCATGTGGTACCCTTATATGGGGAATATACCAAAATAAGAACCTGAATGGCCCATTTTCAACTAGGGAATTGTGAGTATAAAGTCTGAAATATTTCCATTGAAGAATATGAATACCGAACACCGGGAGGTACCGTTAAATGGGGCTATATGGAAACTTAACCTATATAAACTGTAAATACAGAATTTAAAACATATAAAAAAACGGGATCTGCATAACGTCACCAGAAATACCCAAAGGCGTAACACACATGTAGAGTTTACTATGAAAAAAAAAAGGGAAGAGTCCTCATAAATCCCATGTGTGCCAAAAAAAAGTTATTCGCTGCCGAAGGCCCAGAAAATTACCTCAATACTATTTTTGGAATTGTAATTATATATATATATATATATATATATATATATATATATATATATATATATATATATATATATATATATATATATATATATATATATATATATATATATATAAAATGGGTGGCTGATAAACTGACGACGCCTACTTTTTAATCTTAATTAATTTTAATTTTTACTCTGAAATATATATATATATATATATATATGTATATATATGAAAAAAAAGGGAAGAGTCCTCATAAATCCCATGAGTGCCAAATATATATATATATATGCCAATATATATATATATATATATATATATATATATATATATATATATATATATATAAAATGGGTGGCTGATAAACTGACGACGCCTACTTTTTAATGTATATGAAAAAAAAGGGAAGAGTCCTCATAAATCCCATGAGTGCCAAAAAAAGTTATTCGCTGCCGAAGGCCCAGAAAATTACCTCAATACTATTTTTGGAATTGTAATTATATATATATATATATATATATATATATATATATATATATATATATATATATATATATATATATATATATATATATATATATATATATATATATATGTATATATATATATATATATATATATATATATATATATATATAAAATGGGTGGCTGATAAACTGACGACGC